CTATATAGCTAGTAATTTTGTAAGAAATATAAGATAGAATTTACTAAATAACTTTTACAAACATATATATACATAATGTAAATCCAAAAGTTCTAATTTTTAATTCATATAAATAGATACACAAAAGATTGGTATACTTAGTAAACATAAGGTAATCTTGAATAGTGCCGCTAAACTCCGCCACTTCTTGATATCCTCGCAAATCATCTAGTACTTGTAAAACAGTAAAATAACGGAGTGAGCACTAATTGCTCAGTAAGTAAACCAAACTGCACTACTGTGTTTCCTCCGTTACTTATGTTCTGATTTTTTTTTCTTTTCTCACTTTATTCTTTGATTATATTCTTCATTCTTTTATGTTTCTGTTTTTCTTATGTTGTATCTCTTTCTTTTCTTTCTGTATCTGTTTCTTTTATTTCTTCTATCTAGTTTGCCAATCGGACTAGGTTGATGCATGGATTTGGAATCCTGGCCATGTGAGTGGGTACAGTCCTCATCTACATGCACTACTCACGAACTGTACAAGCACTATATCTCTCTGCTATGGCCGCTCGCTCGTGGCGGCGTGCATGTAGGTATGCTCTACTGGGTACAGTCCTCATCCACATACACTACTCATGGACTGTACAAATACTGTATCTCTCTGCTGATGCCGCTCGCTCGTGGCGGCGTGTATGTGGGCATCTTTATCACTCATGGGTTCCCCATCGCAAAAACCTTATATCATAGCATAATATAGAAAGACTATGCACATTTCAACATGAATTTCCAAGCTATGGAAATTCTACACTTGCATTCTTTAAAAACATACACTTTCTATATATGAACATAGCCTCCATGGTCATTCATTACATCAAATATATATGTTCATACAGTCATTAAATAATCACAAAGACCACTCATTCAAACATGCTTCACAACCCTTTAAGCATCATTTTCATACTTGGATTCAATCATAGATTATTAGACTACAAGCAAATTAATAAAGTGGAAACACTTTTGAGATAGTCATTCTGCACACGTCATATTCAAGAAGGCATATCTCAAGTTATACACATCAGATTACTATGATCTTGGTCTTATTTTAAAGCTTAGAGAAAGGGCTACAAATTTTATGTTTAGGTCTCAACCAGTTCGATGGGTAAGATGCCAAAAAATCACTCATAAGGTCACGGATTTGACAGGGCAATCTTGGTAACATGCCTACTTTAAGGTTTTCCATACCTATTTACCTCCACTTACTCCCTAACCTTTCCTAACCATTCTGCCCTGTGAAAATAGGTTAAAAGATCAATAATATACAATCAAACTTCAAGTTTTGCCTTTCTCTAACCCTTTCCTCATTAGGGTTTAGCCAACTCATGCATGCAATTTTTCTTTGGATTTTCATCAAGCACTTTATATGCACATGCAACTACCATGTTGGCTACACTTCCACAACTCTCTAATTCAACCAAATTGTGAGCCAAAAACTCACTAAATTTAATATCAAACCTGTCCATTTTCAACAATTCTCTACACTTGAAAAATTTCAACACAAAATCTTCCACAACTTCACCAAACCATCACATAATCATACACTACTTCTCATTACTAGAATTTATACATCAATAAACATAAAAAATAGCCCATAAATTCTATCGTACCATCACATACAAACATGCAAAAATTCATTCAACATAAGTCTTTCTCAAATTAAGGTTCAAATTAGGTTTACTTACCTTGAATATGTGAGATTACTTCTATTTTGATCTAAATCTCTTCCTCTTAGACCTAAATCATATAAAAACCATAAGACTTTAAAACTTTAAAGTTTAATCATACTCCTTTTGCTAGAATTTTACCTTAGGATGCTTGAAGATTGAAAATCTCCAAAAATCTAGACTAAATCCTATGATTTTCCTTTGAAGTTTAGTGAATAAAATTGAGAGAAAAATGGGGTAGAATGGCGTGAACAAGGGCTGAATATGTGTTAGGGTTTCTTCAAATAAAGCCTTATATCAATTAATATAAGCATGTGTTCCCATTTTGCCCTTGCACTTTCTCTAAAATTCCATCTATGTCCCTTAGTCAATTACCATGATGCCCTCAATTTAATTCTATCTCTTTTCACTCCTCACCATTTCAACTAATTTTGAGTGAAAAGATCATTTTACCCTTAATGCAAGTTTAAGACATTTTCTTCACGTTTTCTCAAAATAACTTTAGCAAAAATCAACTAAAGGTATAAGAGCATAAATTAAATTACGTACCTCCATGTGGGCGTTACATGTTGTCCTCGAATTGTAGCTTCTTCCATAGGTCGGTCTGCGGGCAAACTCCCGTAATAATGAGAGTCCGAACAGATTATTCAGGTGTATTAGCCACCTTGTGTAGCTCCCTATGGAACCTGTCAATGTAGGACTGGAGGGATTCATTCTTCTCCTATCGTAGTTGCTCAGCTCAACGACATTGAGAACTTCCTATTCACATATAAGTGTCTCAAGAATAACAAGCTCATCTGCTGCCACGAGTTAATAGATCCTGGCGGAAGCGATTTAAATTAGCGCTTGGCGTAAGCAGTCAAGGTCATTGCCAAATAGCGACATTTGGCCAAGTTGGAAACTTGGTGAAGCTTCATAAGGTTATTAAACTCATAGAGGCGATCCTGCATATCAGAATTCTCATCGAATGTTCACATATCGGGCATTCTAAACCTCGACGGGATAGGAACAGCTAACACTGCCAGAGAAAAGAGGGACGCCTCAGCAACTTGTCCACGCTCATTTTGCTGAACTCTAAGCTGATCCAGAGCTTGTTGTAACTCCTTAATCTAAGGCAACCAGCTACTTGAGGATCACTTTCTGTGACATAGATTTGACCCTCACGATTATGGTTGAGGAAAAACCACAGATTGGACTCTTCCTTACCTTGACCGGAGGCTTCGACATATCTTGACACACGCTGACTGAAGTCGTTAGAAAGCAATGAAAGGTTCGGGGAGTTAGGTCGACCTCCATGGTGGTTAGAACTGACCCGCGATTGCTGGGGTTTTCCCTGCCTTGCACTCTTGTGGGGGTGCTCATGCGATGTGGCGTGGGACCGTTCATGATGCAACATGTCGCCAAGCCACAAGTATTCTACCTATTTCACGACTGGTATTTGCTGGTCCCTTTGAGCCCTTTGGCCCATTATCTACCACCTGCTTTCCCTTGCCTTTACGCACTGTAGTGCACGTGGCATGGGCCTTCACCCATTTTTGCGGTTTAGCATGACCTACAGGTGTTTTTGGTGGTGGCATCGCCTTGTCGGACTCGGGTGGTACGGCCTGATCCAAACGATTTAACCTTCGATTAACCGTTTGGTGAGTATTGTTGAACCTTTCCAAGTAATCCATCACAGCTTGGTCGAGCTGTGAGCTCAAAGGAATGTCCGTCGCGGTACTATGCTGAATCAGGGGCACTTTGGGAGAAGTGTCATCTTGTACCCGGGGGACCTCCTCGTTGCCGGGGCTAGCTCGCTCGGTTTTGAAACCATGGGCCATTTGCTATCAAACATAATCGATTAATCAGAGATTCCTGATGAAGAGCGGATACTAAATCAGACCCTTCTTCTAGCGCCAAAACTGTTAATGCTGGATTTTAACACCAACTATTCACATGTGCAAAGCGCTAAGGTGACTTAGGAATTGCACGTGAAATGGAAATGAAAGGAAATAAAATGGAGACGATTTTTAAAGTGGTTCGGATGCTCAAAGCGAATCCTATGTCCACTATCTTTTTATAAATGAAATATTACAATCAGGTCGCAATTAGCAATTTAGAGAAAACAAAAATACAGAGAGGGAGATAGAGTGTTTATCTTATCAGAATTCGAATCTCAAAAAATGAGAGGGGAGCTCTCTATTTATAGTAAGAGGTTTCTGGATAATGATTACAAGTCTGCCAGCGGGCAAGTCCCGTACAGTTCCTACCCTACTTCATATTGGTTGGTAGCACATAAAATATCCTTAAATCACGCAGGGCTTGGGCAGGTGGGTAACTCCCAGCCACTCACCCGCTAGGTCTTTACCTGCCAAGCTGATGACAACCTTACTCCTTCTGTCCTTGGACGACGTGGCAGCGCCTGGATGACACAATGTCTTCCTGAACTTTGATTGGTCCTCGTTGATGCAGGCCTGCATCAGGTCGAATTTTTTAGGCACAACATTTTTAAATGGGATGATATTTAAATTACATCCTATAACTCCAAATTAATTATTAAAAAATAATTTAAAGTTAAAACCATTATATTAATCTGGTGTGTGTTTTCTTTTTTTTACTTACAACAAGGACGTATTTAATTATAATTGAAACACCATGTTGAGCACAATGGTACCAAAACGCTAAAGTTTTTTTTATCTAAAAACATGAAACTAAATGGGATTATTATAACTTATTTAATATAATTAATGGACTAAATAGTAATTCCATTAATATAATTATGAGATTCTTATCTTTTTTGTTATTAGGAGTGTCCGAGCTAACTTACGCGCACCTCGACTGGTCCCCCAACCTCGAACAAAGGTTTTGAAATAAGACAAACCCTGCAGTCCGTGACCGACAATATTTAATAACCGTTCTTATGATTCGAACCTGAAACTACTGGGAGAGCAAAACCCTTAACCCGAAGCCTTTAAGACTCAGCCAACCCATTCTTGGTTCCATATCCATTATTTTACTAACATCTAATACTAATCCTCGCTTATGAGAGGTTGATTATATATAATATATGTTTTTTATTTTAATTTATATATTTAAAACTCAAATTAAATATTTTACAATTTATACATTTTATCCAGATAGATAAATGTAAAAAGGTTAATAAGTTTTAAATTAAAAGTCTAATCCTTATGAAAAAAGTATTTTAAAACCAATGGGAATAGGTTTCCCACCCTAATTGCCATTAGAAATTGACAAGACCAATCAGCGTCTAAGTAAATTGTTTTCTTGAGAAACAAGAAGACAATTAAAAACAGGTTATATAAACCCAACCTGACCTCTGGTCCTTCATCTATTTACTCTCTCCCTTTTCTCTAAAATATCTCTCCCGATCTGTATTGTCTTTCTCATTCTCTGAGCGACAATGACTCATCCGGCTGAATCCTCTAACGCGTGAGTCTACTCTCCAACTCACAACCCTTTTTTCCGTTTCATTCTTCTTCTGATTGATTGATTGTTTGATTGATTTTTCTTATGGATTTTTACAGGAGTTCGGGGAAGAAGGACTTCTCCACGGCGATTTTGGAGAGGAAAAAATCGCCTAATCGGCTGGTCGTTGACGAGGCGGTTAACGATGACAACTCCGTCGTCGCTTTGCATCCTGATACCATGGAAAAGCTCCAGCTTTTCCGCGGCGACACCATTCTCATCAAAGTACGATTTCTCTCTTCTCGAATTTTAAATTTATGTTTGTATTTATTAGGTTAGATTTTTTTTTGTTTTTTTTTTTTTTTTGTTCAGATGTAGGTTTTATTTAAGCTTTATTATTATTATTATTTTGTTATTTGGTCGAATCATTAATACTAATTTTTTAGGATCAGGTCTTTTATTTTAATTTTGTAAGTTTATGTTAGAAAGACTAGGTCTGTTGACTAGGCTCTCATCCTCAATTTTATTACAGGAATTTTAGGGTTGTATCTTACATTGTATCTGATTTTGTTGATTAAGTTACTTACATCTTGTGATTTGGCTTTTAGGGAAAGAAACGAAAAGATACAATCTGCATTGCTCTTGCTGACGATACATGTGAACAGCCTAAAATCAGGATGAACAAGGTTGTTAGATCCAATCTTAGGGTTCGACTTGGGGATGTTGTCTCTGTGCACCAGTGCCCAGATGTTAAGTATGGCAAGCGTGTTCACATTCTTCCTATTGATGATACCATTGAAGGAGTTACTGGGAATCTGTTTGACGCTTTCTTGAAACGTGAGTTTCTACTCTCTCATGTAATTACGTTTTGCATTCATTTGATTAAAAAGAAAAGAATCTGTTTAATCTTGTTTTGTGTGGTTTTTCTGCAGCTTATTTCTTGGAGTCTTATCGCCCTGTGAGGAAAGGAGATTTGTTCCTTGTTAGAGGTGGAATGAGGAGTGTTGAGTTCAAGGTCATTGAAACTGATCCTGGGGAATACTGTGTTGTTGCTCCAGACACTGAAATTTTCTGTGAGGGGGAACCTGTGAAGAGGGAAGATGAGGATAGGTTGGATGAAGTCGGTTATGATGATGTTGGTGGTGTTCGAAAGCAGATGGCTCAGATTCGTGAGTTAGTGGAGCTTCCATTAAGGCATCCTCAGCTCTTTAAATCAATTGGTGTGAAGCCACCAAAGGGGATCTTACTTTATGGACCCCCAGGTTCTGGAAAGACTTTGATAGCCAGAGCTGTCGCTAATGAAACTGGTGCTTTCTTCTTTTGTATTAATGGGCCAGAAATTATGTCCAAATTGGCTGGAGAGAGTGAAAGTAATCTCAGGAAGGCATTTGAAGAAGCGGAGAAGAATGCTCCATCTATAATCTTTATTGATGAGATTGATTCCATTGCTCCCAAGCGAGAGAAGACAAATGGTGAAGTTGAAAGACGTATTGTTTCACAGCTTTTAACTCTTATGGATGGGCTTAAATCCCGAGCCCATGTTATTGTTATGGGGGCTACTAATCGCCCAAATAGTATTGACCCTGCTTTGAGGAGGTTTGGTAGATTTGATAGGGAGATAGACATTGGTGTTCCAGATGAAGTTGGGCGCCTTGAAGTTCTCCGCATCCATACGAAGAACATGAAGCTGTCTGATGAAGTAAGTTGCATTTGTTCTCTTTACTTTTAGAAAGGTGCAACTTACTTTAGAAAGTAAGTTGTATGCAGTTTCTGTAAACTAGTAAACCAGTGAACTATATTAAGAATTTGATTGGTTAAATGGTGATTCTAAATACCGGTTGGACACAGTTCCGATGTATCAGTTGTTAAGCCATTATATGAACTCAGCATTATTTTTTTGTGGGTCAAAGTTTAACCATATCATCTAGTTCCTTGTTGCTGAAAATGGGTTCTTCCCTTTACAGGTTGATCTAGAGAGGATTGCTAAAGATACTCATGGGTATGTCGGTGCTGACCTTGCTGCTCTGTGTACCGAAGCTGCATTGCAATGCATCAGAGAGAAAATGGACGTGATTGATTTGGAGGATGAAACTATTGATGCAGAGATACTTAATTCTATGGCTGTTACAAATGAGCACTTCCAAACTGCACTTGGAACAAGCAACCCTTCTGCTTTGCGTGAAACTGTGAGTAACTTTCTGGGGATGCTTATCATGATTTGGCTTAGTATTGTTTCTGTGTTGAAGTAGATAATTTTTTATGGTTGCCTTGTGGATAAATATTTGCCACTGTGATTTAATTGTTTGTTTTTGGCTGACAGGTTGTTGAAGTTCCCAATTGCAGCTGGGAGGACATTGGAGGCCTTGAAAATGTTAAGCGTGAGCTTCAAGAGGTAATAATCATTATTCAATACTGGATTAAGACATATTTGAGGATGTTTTCAGTTTTCTATGCTCCAGAAACATGTTTTCAAGAATGAGAT